CAACAGGGTAATTATTACCATGAAGTATTATTGGTGTCGAGAATTGATGATAAGGGATTCTTAGCATTTATACTAAAAAGCTTTAAGTAGACTTACATAAAAGATAATACATTATTAATGATTGCAATTAAAGATTCGAAATTTTATTATTTAATTGTACTCCCACTAAATTTTATCCAATTCCATTACCATTTAGTAGACAAACGAGAAAACTTATTTTTCTTTTAATAGGCTTTAGGTCCAATAGGAAAATTCAACCTATAGTTAATTCAGACCAATTACATTTGTCTAAAGGTAGATCTACATTAATCATATCGTTATATGACCCTAAAGATATATTTACCTCACACTTGATAATGACCTAAGTTAATCTCGCGAATTTAAAATCTTCGTGTATCAAGTATAACCTACCAATCAAAGGCTCATAGAACTGATTATACCAAACTAATGCAGCCGCTAGTTAATCTAGCCGACCATGTTTATCTAGCATAACCCTTTCTATGGCTACCTTCATCATTATGTCAATTAAATTACAGTTGGCCCTACAATAGCACTCCCCGCTAACACGGCTTACTGCACTATTGCAAGGGGCTACACATAATTTAACCGTTGGTAGAAGGAAAGAAAAATTCAACAGATTGATTTTTCATTATAGCTTGAAATAATTCTTAATAAATTAAGAATGAGGGATTTATTAATTTTTTTTTTTTGCTATCTCATCAAAATTATTGGACAGGTTGATTGGATTCCTACAACTGCGTTCTCTAAAGGTATATGGAAACGTATATTGGCATAAGAGGAATATTCGAACTAAATTATAATTAATTTAAATAATTAATTATGAGGTTTTGTTTCAAAATAATTAAAGGACGTTAATCAACATAAATCAATAAAATAAGATTAAAGTATAATTAATTAAGTTAAAGTATAATCACCATTATACATGAGTTTTATTAATAAAATCAATTTAATATTTTAATTAATTAATAATCAAGTACTCATTTATTGAACATTATTGATTAATTGATCAAAAAATTAAAAATTAATTTTGATTTAATTTAAATTTCTAGAAAAAGAAAACTTTTTTTTATATATATTCCGGGTGTCTGAACCAGTCAGACCCGGTTGAGCTTATTGGACCAGTCTGATCGAGCTGTCTGATCCGGACAGTTGTCTAAAGCTAATTTTTGGAATTTAAAATTCAAATCCAATTTAAATTTTAAATCCAATTTTCAATTCCAATTTTAAAATCGATTTTTAAAAACGAAAATCCAATTTTATAATTCCAATTTTAAAATCGATCAAATCCAATTTTAAAAATCAAATTAAAATTAAACAAACTCAATTCCAATTTCACCAATTCAATAAATTCAATAAACTATTCACATACAATCGACAACAATAAACACGTAGGCAATTAATTGCGCAACCGTAGCCCTGACGCCACTGTTGGGGATCCCGCACGTGTACGCAGCGGAAAATAAAAAAAAAATTATTTATATAAACAAACACGTGCACAATAATTACAATTAATTACGTACCTTTTCGTTTCCAATCACCGACAAACATGCTCGCATATATAAATAATTTAAATAACATAAATTAAATCATCATAGCATGCTCGCGAAATCAAATCAAATAATAAACATGCTCAACGAACGATTCACATAAACACATAATTGAACATATAGATTCAGGTGATTCCATAATCAATTAACATACATTAGGGGAAAAAAATTTACCCTTGAAGCGTGATTCTGATGAAGACTCGAGAAGATGGCTAGCTGCTACTCCTACTGATCCAACCTGTTTTTTTATCTAAAATTACAGCCTGCTCTGACTTTTATATCTCCAAGGTTATTGATTGGATGAACAATTCCTCAGGGAAATTATAGATCCATGAGTGTTGAAGCTTCTGTCAAAATTTCACCTCCATCCAATCACTAGTTGATTTACGAAGAATTTTCTCGCTGGACTGCGTAGAAACCTTCTTCTTCAACCGAATATATAGTAGGGTAGGTAGTGGCTAGCATGTTGATCAAAGAAAATAAAGAAAATTAACAAAAATATTTTTGTACCAGGGGCAGAACAATTTTACAAGCCAGTGACAGACGTAGGTTTTTTTTTTTTTTTGTTTTTTTTTTTTTTTTGAAAGAACGACAACGTTACCTAAAAGTACTCTAACATTATAACCTTTTTGCACGCATTCATTGATGCATACCATGCACGAGCGGTTTCATTACGAGATACGGTCTTATGGTAAAAGACAATGAAAGATCCAAGGTAGCGGCACCCAAAACAAATGATGTTTTATACTAATGCACATATGTCGACTGCGAAAAGCTCTTACCTTGTGAGCCGTTGAGAAAGACGACGATGAAGTTACAATTAAATTGATCAGTGTAGGTTTAAGTTTAAGATTGATAGAATCATTAATTTTGTACAAAATATATATAAACAGGGACAAATTTGTCAAACATAAAACTAAATTCATTCATGTGAGATTGATAATAAGTAGAAGGGGCGATATATTATCTTTAGGCTCATAAAAAATGAGCCTAAAAATGACTTTACCTGAAAGAATAGAGAAGAAGTTATCCTCTATTTCACTAATTAGTCATTTTTGCACATTAATCTCGATTTTGACTGCTGTCAATCGCCACCACTAAAGAAAACTAGGGTTGTAAAATAGATCATTTAGATATACAAAGTGTTATGCTATTATCACTACTAGTAATTGTACCCGTGCGATGCACGGGACAACAAATTGCATTCTTTTGATATTGTAAGAATATAAACAAACGTTTGATGTATCGTATGATCAAAATTCTATTATACTGGAACATTATTAAGTATACTACACACAAAAAAAAAAGGACATAACTTTACTGTTGAATAATTTTCCAAATGAATTGAATCAGCTAATACCAGTAGATTGAAAATTTGAACCAGGAAAAAAATCATCAATTATGTCTCATGTTGAGCTTAAAAGTAATTAGATTTAATAACTAAGTTAACATAATCAAAACTAAACTATCGACAACATACCATCGTAAAAGGCCATCTATAAATCTTGCATCGGAACTAAGCCCTTCTCCACTGCCTCATTTTAAGGTTGTTTTGCCACTGGAATTAACAATTGGAAAATTAAGAAACAAAAATAAATATAAACAATAAATTAAATATCGCATACAAAAAATAAGTCTTGAAGGTCGACTTCCAATAGCTTGTGGCTCCGCCCATTTTTGGTTAATTTTCTCAAATCATCCATTTCAATAACATGTCCAATAACATATAAAATGAAATAATTGTTATACATAAAATTTGAAAACTTTGGTATAAATTAATGAAACACATAATTTAACAAAATGAAATTACCTATAAGCCATGATGGAAAAAGATGTAAACTAATTGCCACACATGCAATAGGATGAAGAAGAAGATAAGAAACGAAATCTAAGGTCAGGTTACCAAAAGAAGAAGACTTAGGTAGGGAAGAAATAAAATTCAAATGTTGCAGACATTCTGTAAAACGATGTCACAAAATCCGCTAGGGATGAAAATCAGATTTATTTACCCTTTTCTGTAAAAATCGAAAATCAGATTATTATAAAAAATATCTAGGAGAATTTGATGAAAATCGATAATAATATATAAAATAATATTTAGGAGGAAAAAATTTGATAAAAAAATCCAAAAATAATATTTAGGAGATAAAAATCGAAAATAAAATTTAAAATAATAGTTATGAGATAAAAATTTGATAAAAAATCGAAAATAATATTTCAAATAATGTTAATGAGATAAAAGTTGATAAAATATGAAAATAATAATTAGAATAATATTTAGGTGATAAAATATGATTAAAATTAAAATTATTATTTAAAATAATATTTAGGAGATAAAAATTTGATAAAAAGCGAAAATAATATTTAGGACACAATAATCTGATAAAAAACAAAAATAATATTTAGGAGATAAAAAACTAATAAAAACATGATAAAACTCGAAAAAAATATTTAAAATATTATTTAGGAGATATAAATTTGATAAAATTCGAAAATAATATTTAGGAGACAATAATCTGATAAAAAACGAAAATAATATTTAGGAGATAAAAAACTAATAAAAACATGATAAAACTCGCAAAAAATATTTAAAATATTATTTAGGAGATATAAATTTGATAAAATTCAAAATAATATTTAGGAGATAAAAATCTGCTTACAGTTGAAAATTATATTTAAAATTATAGTTAGGACTTAGGAGATATAAATTTGATAAAATTAAAAAAATATTATTTATGATAATATTTAGGAGATAAAAATTTGATAAAAATAAAAAATAATATTTATGAGACAAAAATCTGATAAAAATAAAAAATAATATTTAAAATAATATTTAGGAGATACAAATATGATAAAATTCGAAAATAATATTTAAAATAATATTAAGGAGATAAAAATTTGATAAGAATTGAAAAAAAATTACAAATATGACATTAGGGTTTCTTAGGGTTGCCCTAGCGTTTCTTTCTTTTATATATAAGATATCTAGGAGAATTTGATGAAAATCAATCAACTAATAATTTATTTATTATATAGTATTATAGTGGTCAACAATATCGTTAAGTATCACAATAACGTTAATTTATTTTTATAGTTTTTGTTTCACAGTAACATTAATTTTCACAGTAACACTAAATTTAAAAAAAAAAAAAAAGTTTTTTGTTATGTTGCAAATAACATTAATTTTTATGTAACAATAGTTTTATTTTTCAACGGAACATTAATTTTCATAGTACACTATTTTTTTACATTTTTATTTTTATTTTTCACAACAACAATAATTTCACACTAATACTAAAAAAAATTATTTACTCTTTTTCCATCCAATAATGTTTTTATACTTTTTTTTTTGTCTCTAGTTTCACTAATGTTACCGTGTTGATCCGGTATTTTACATTAATATCACCGGTCATCAAATCAAAGAAAACTATAAAACCGTAAAAGAAAATTATATTGTGTTGACTATCAACACAGTAACATTGACGGTAAACACAACATTGCTGGGGGAAACCTTTAAAAAAAATAATATTAATTCTAATATCTTGCAAAGCATCCAGATTTCCTCAAGACATAACACACAAAAATAATAGGAAAGAAATATGTAGATGCCTTTCCTGTTCAATAACCAACAAAAAAAAAAAGTGGAGACCGAATCATATGTTTCGAAAAAAATCACTAACGGGATTTTCCTAGCGACGAACACTCGGTTTTATTTTCACAGTTTGAATTGTGAAGCTCCATTTATACCAAATTGGGAAGCCAATAATCATCATGTGTACGAATCATTCTGCACCTGTTTTCACCGGAGTCGTTTTGTCAAGTTCGTCCAAAACAGTCCAAAGTTTAGCATCTTCGTAATCTTTGATGAGTAGAGCAGGCTTTGCTTCCATAAGTAGCTCTGCTGGATTCCTAGTCGTCAATCCCACTGTAGGCAATCCCGCTGCGACCCCAGCTTTTATCCCTGAAACTGAATCCTGAACAAACCAAAACCACACTGTATATAGTAAACCATGTCTACAGTAACCACTAGCGGAGCCAGGATTTTAAGTCTGCGAGGGCTGAATGCATTAAAAAACTTTCTAGGGGGTCGTTACTACTATTGTACACAAAAAAGTTCATATTTTCTACAATAGAACCTCGATTAATCAATACTTGATGAAATAATAACCTCGCACTTTATTAACATCTCCTTGTCCTCACTCGGTGAGGACATGTTAAATCATTATCTCAGTAATATAATATTCCGCTAAATTAATAGAATTTTTTCTAGTCCCAACTGTATCAATTTATAGAGATTTAACTGTATATAAAATAATAAATATTTGAGAAATGTTGGTGGGACCGTGGCCCCCTAGCCTTATGCTGGCTCCACCACTCATACCAACGAAGATTATAATTCCATTTCGGTTTTAGGAATGTAAAGAATTTTGCGAATGGAAGTAATTTTTTTGTTGTGTTTTCGGCGAACAATGATTACTATTTTGAGAGAAGAATTTGAAAAAATTAAATAATATTTATTTAGTGGGAACCAAACCTCGAATACGCATGTGTGCTCCTTGGACACGTTGAGTATTTCAAGTGCCTTTAAATAAGGATCTGGGAAAGGTTTTGCATGTTCGCAATCACTTCCAAGAATAAGAGCTTGAAAGAAATCCGACAGTCCAAGAAGTGAGATCATCAGCTCGGCATTTTCTCTAGGAGCGTTAGTGACAGCAGCTCGTTTCAACCCACGATCTTCAATCCATTTTGTCAGTTTATGTAAGCCCTTCACCGGTTCGATTTTCTCCTTAACTATCCTGTAATTCCCATTCGAAAAAGAAAAGAAAAATGCGGAGTAAGACTAAAAAAATGCCTACATTCAATCATCTAATTTTTAATAGAGGAAACAAACCTTCTGAACATGGCTTCCTTGTCATCGAGAAATTTGACACCTCTCTCGTGATCATCTGGGAAAAGGATGGAAGCAATATCTTCATTGTGTCTCCCAGCAATATTCTTGACGAAAAATTCCTCGTCGATCGGAACACCGCCGTTAAAGCCAATCTGATGAAAGGAACAGTGTCGTCTATTTTGATCCAAAATCTTACAGGAATTAAATGATTCGAAATAATAAAAGAAAAAAGAATAGATCCCATCACAATCACACCTCTTGAAGCATCTCGCGGAAAGCATCAAAATGCAAGGGATCCGTATCGCACAATGTGCCATCAATGTCGAACAGGACTGCTTCGAGTGGAGCGAGTTTCAACAGAGGACAATTTCTGATTTAACAGACAATGAATAGCAAATTAGCTATAGTTGAAAGCGTAGCTTCTCGGTTACAAAGATCCCGAAACTTGGCCTGCAAATATCTATTTTTACTATGATTCGATGAAGAAACACGTGAAGGGCCCGAGAAGAAAAGAGTATTTACTTTCTTTTTGTATTATATTTTATTTTCATTTATTGAACTAAAAAGAAGAAAATAAAAAAAAAAACATTTCTTCCACAATGAATGAAAGTTTAAAAGTACTTATTAAATATATGTTCACGAAATCACAGGGCATAATAGTACATACAAATCCAACAAAAATAGATCCTTTTTACGGTTATGCCCAAACATATCCTTTAGCTAGGGGTGTAAACGAGTAGAGTTGAGCTGAACACATGGTAGTTTAAGCTTGTTTGAATTTTATCGAGCTTTTAATCTTGTGTTTGAGCCAAGCAAGAATTGAGCTCGAGTAGCTTGACTTTTTTTTTTCTTAACATAATTTTATAAAATAAATCAAATTGAGCTCGGCATCAAGCCGAGTTTCATAGCTGATCAAACCAAAATATGTGTTCAAGCTTCGTTCTTTAGGTTAACAAACCAAGCTCAAATGAGCTTTTAACGAACAATCTCGTATCGAATAATATGGTTTGATTTTTCAGCACGGCCTTTAGCACAACATATGTAATCAGAAAAAATAAAATTTATAATTTGCATTGGTTTTCCGATCCTGCTAATATGAATAAATAGAGTCCAATCAAAATATAATAAGTGGAATGAATTAAAATAAGAAAAACAAGTGATTGGGCAGCAGAATGCATAGTGCTGTGGATCGACGACATATATAAGATTTCAGAATGTAATCCAAATGGGGGCGATGGCCGATTAGAGGCTCCATCTCCACATCACACACACACACACACACACACACACACACACACACAAAAAACAGAGATCGCATCGAAAAAGTGAAGAAATCGAAAAGAGAAATGAAAGGAAGGGAGTGGCGCGTGTGGGAATTACCTGTCCAATGAGGAAGAAACAGTCATCTTGTAGTGGTCAGTTTTCTGTAATCCTCCTTCTCCGCCTCCGCCTCCGCCTACTCTCTGATGATTATAATTTAGAATCGGAGATGCTTCTTTATTTATACACCAAACACCACTGCCGAGTTGCTGACACAAATTTTGCATTATTATTATTATTAATTTATTATTATTATTTAGAAAGAAAAAAAAAGGTCGGGATTCGGGAATATGCCAAATGCCAATGGTTATGCAGGAGGGAATACTTCACGTGTTAACGTAAACACGTGTTCCACCCAATTTTCGCAACAAGAGTCCCACTAAATATTCCAACTTGCAAATGTTTCACTTTTTTGGAGAAGCAAAATTGTTAAGAATATACATATACGTTGCAATTATTATTATTAGTTAAAAGCGTGTGCTTGCGTTGACTTTTAAGTTTAGACTTCATATATGGTTTTTGTTTTTCAAGAATCATTCATGTGATCTCTAATTGCTAAAATAGCTTCCATATTAAAAATATTAGTAAGAACCCTCAAGTGAAAATTAGTCAAAGCTAATAAACAGGGCCGGTCAGCCGTATTTTGGGGTCCTGGGCAAAACACAAACTTGTGCCCCTAAGTAATACGGGGTTCGGTATCTACAATATATATATAATAATACAGGGTTCGGCACAACATCCCCAATTTTGTTGAAAAATATATATGTAAAATATAAACATATTTAATAGTAAAATTATGAAATTGGAACGATACAGAGAAGATTAGCATGGCGCTTGCGCAAGGATGAAACCAATAAATTGAGATATGGTCCAAATTTTTATGGTAATCAAGTTGTTTTAACGAGGCATCATCATGAAATAGTTTTTCTTTTAGCCAAAAAAAATTAATAAAATTATATTAGAAAAAAATTATTTACTTTAACAAAACTAGTTTAATGTTAGGAAATAAAAAAGCAATAATGATTACAAAAAAAATTAAATTGTAAATTATAGAAAAATAGAAACATAAATTCATACAGGGGTTCAACCGAGAGAAAAATAAAATTGGAGTAAAAAGACATAAATGGAGAAAGTGGGGGTAAGATTTAAAAACTATAAAACTTGGGTAAAAGCATTAATGGAGAGAGGTGGGAGTTGAAAAGTCAAAAAAAAAAAAAAAGGATGGCCTTTCTTGTTAGTTGCAAAAACAAAGGGCTAAAAATAGGAAAAAAAAAAAAAAAAAAAAAAAGAAGAAAAAATGTTATATTTACAGAAATACCTACTAACATATAACCAAATATTTGGGGACCCATTGACAAATGGGCCTGGGCCCCGCTTGCCCTGGTCCAGGGCCGGCCCTGCTAATAAAGTTTCCTACCATGTGCGCCGCACGCGCGGGTTGGGAGACTGAGTTGTATTTTTTGACTGGATAAGACTTAAATACCCTTTTAGAAATTTAAAAAACTACAGATCCACCCAAAATATCTATAAGCCCAAAATAAAGTTTTTAAATTATCACTTCAACCTCTCATATTTAGCTCTCTTCTTCACTACACCTAAAATCACCACTGTAATGTCAAACCCCAGCTCTTCCCATGACCCATCACTTCCGCTACGTCGCCCCCTTACCACTTTCCCCGCCGTCTAGGACTGCCCCTTCCACCGTATCTTCGTCCACCTCACCAGCACTGTAGACAACACCCTATCCATCGCCCGCAAATGCCATCACAAGAAAACCAACATCTCTCTAGTGCTTCCTTCACATAACCTGAGTATCCGAATTCCCAATAGATGGACACTGTTAGTTTGTGAGAGGTGGTGGATAGTAATTTGGAAATAGTTTGGTTTATTTGGAGAGAAGGTACAATAGGACTTAAGTTGAAGGAGAAGGCTTTATTAGTTTTTTGTTTTAGTTGATGCTTGTTTACCATGCATCATAGTCTATTTATAGGTTTCATGGATAAATCTAGAGAATTGCTATAGTAGTCCTTCTCTAGAATTCTATTTACAATCCTACCTATTCTTGAATATTCTTCTATGGCTAGAAGTATCTAGCTAGCCTTAAGTCCTATAGATTATTCTAGATACTATTTTACAAGACTAATATTTCTTGAATATTCCAAAATTGAGCATTAATTTCTACTCTCCTCTTTAATGCTCATTTTGGAGATACCGAGCATCGTACATAGTTCTTTAAGCTTCGGGCGTGGAAGTGCTTTCGTGAAAATATCTACATGTTATTCGTCTATCGGGCAGTAGTTCACTTGAATTTCTTTGTTCGCTTTTGCTTCTCTTAAGAAATGATACTTGATGGATGTGTGCTTAGTTTGGCTGTGTTGAACTGGATTCTTTGACATTGCTATTGCAGACTTGTTATCGCAATACATTGCCGTCGGCTTAGTTTGTTCCTTGCCTATATCTGCTAATATTCGTCGTAACCATATAGCTTGGCTTGCAGTTGTTGCAGCTGCCATATATATACTCTGCTTCTGCTGATGATTGCGCCATGCTTTCTTGTTTCTTTGATGCCCATGAGAATATTCCGGAACCAAGAAAGAATGTGTAACCTGAGGTACTCTTCATGTCATCCAATGATCCGGCCCAGTTACTATCGGTGTAGCCTATTAAACTCGAGCATGTTACGGTCTTGTGCCAAATTCCATAGTCCTTCGTTCCTTGCAAGTACCTAAGGATCCTCTTTGCTGCTCCATAATGTACTTGACTCAGACTTTGCATGAACCTGGATAGTAAACTTGTGGCGTACATAATGTCTGGTCATGTAGCTGTTAGATATAGCAGGCTTCATATTATACTCCTGAGTGAATCATCTACCTTTGGTGATCCATCTTCCTTTCTTAGTTTTTCATTAGTTACTACAGGTATAGCAACCGGATTGCAGTCGTGAACTTCTTTATAGCAAACTCTCGATGTACTTTCTTAGTTTTTCATTAGTCCTGAACTTCTTTATAGCAAACTCTCGATGTACTTTCTCTTCGAGATGAAAATATCTTCTCCTTTTTGGTTTATCTCGATGCCGAGGAAGTAATGAAGTGATCCGAGATCACTCATCTCAAATGACTTCATCATATCTTCTTTGAATTCTTTAACCATACTCTCACTGTTTCCCGTATATATAAAATCATCTACGTATAAAGAGACAATGAGTGTATCGGTCATACCTTGTGTCTTGATGTAGAGAGTAAACTCACTTTGACTCCTCCTAAATCCTCGACTCGTGAAATAAGTATCGATCCGACTGTACCAAGCTTGTGGGGCTTGCTTTAAGCCGTATAAGGCTTTCATGAGAATTAAAACTTTGTCTTCTTTTCCTTTCTCCACGAATCATTGTGGTTGTTCCACATATATTTCTTCTTCAAGATAGCCGTTGAGAAATGCTGACTTAACGTCCAGTTGATAGATTCTCCATCTCTTTTGTGCAGCTAGTGCAATAAGTGTTGTTATTGTGTCTAAGCGTGCAACGGGAGCAAAGGTTTCAGTGTAGTCGATACCTGGTAATTGTGAGTATCCTTTGGCGACAAGTCTCGCTTTGTGCTTCTGAATCGAGCCATCCGAATTGAGTTTTGTTTTGTAGAGCCACTTAACTCCAATGATATATTTGCTAGAAGGTCGATCTACCATCTCCCATGTCTTGTTCTTTTCGATCATCCTTATCTATTCTTCCACACCTTTTATCCAATTTTTTTTGCTTTGATGCTTCTTCTAAGCTCCTTGGCTCTATAGTTGAAAAGTTACACGACTCGTAGATTCTTGAACTTTCTAAAGATATTGAATACTTCCAATTTTTATCGCATAAAGTAGATGTTGGGAAACAAGCACGTGTACGCAACGGAAAACAAAAATTTTAAAAGATATAAACGATTTAATTCATATAAACACATGCTCGACTCATATTACGCAATTAATTACGTACCTTAACGCTTCTAGCGAAAATTAAAACTATAGAGAAATAATACAATTTTTTAATTACTGCAATTTTCTCTCTATTCCACATTACATTGGCCTGATGCCTATTTATACATAATAAAGGCGGTGGTTTGGGAGCACTAATTAAATCCACCAACCTAATTAATGTTACAATTAAAATTAGTTAGCCTAATGAAGCTTCTAGTGCAGAGACTTCTGGAGAGTTTTCTAGAACAATGGAGTTCTTGCTAATCTTAACACTCCCCCTCAAGAACTACTCTCCTTTAATGTGGAACTTCGGTTGATTCCTAACTTTTTTCCGAAAATCTTTGAACTTGACGCCATTGACTCCTTTTGTGAATATATTTGCAAGCTGCTCTCCTGTTCTTATGTGTTTGATTTCAATTTCTCCTCGTAGTACCTTCTCACGCAGGAAATGATAGTGTACTTCAATGTGTTTCGTCCTTGCATGAAACACGGGATTCTCCGCAAGACGGATTGCTGACACATTGTCACAGTATATTTGTGCGGACGTGTTATCAGATTGCCCAAGATCTTTCAAAAGTTGATGCAACCATGTACATTCTTGAGCTGCCGTAGCTGCCGTACGATACTCTACCTCGGTGCTTGATAATGAAACTGTGGGTTGTCGTTTGCTGCACCACGAGATTGGTCCAAATCCGATATTAAAGACATAACCTGATGTCGACCGCCGTGTGTCGTGGTCACTAGCATAGTCAGAGTCACAATATCCAATAATCTCACATTTCTCACATTTCTTGTACAGTATCCCGTAGTCAATCGTGCTTTTCACGTACCGCAATATTCTTCTTATAGCTTCCAAGTGAGGTTTTTTTGGGGTCTGCATAAATCGACTCACTTTGCCTACTGCATATGATAAATCTGGTCGGGTTATAGTGAGATAGATGAGGCTGCCGACTATTTGTCTGTACATTGTAGCGTCTTCTAATTATTTTCCTTCGACAGAGCATAATCGCGCATTTACTTCGATAGGAGTAGAAACAGGTTTGCACTCCGTCATCCCGTACTTTCCAAGTAATTCCTTTGCATACTTGTGCTGACATAAGAATATTCCTTCGCCGACTCTTTCTACTTCAAGACCGAGAAAGTGCTTTAATTCTCCGAATGCTTTCATGTGAAAACGTACTGATAAGTTGGCTTGAACTTGATATATTTCCTTCTCGTCGTCTCCTGTTATGATTAGATCATCCACGTACACTAGCACGATTGTTTTC